CTCGACTTAGGATAAGGGAGGTGGTCAGATCGGCTATAGTAAGTAAACTTATTTCAGAAGATTAGATTAATTTAAAAGTTAGTTAAATTTTGAATGCAAAAATGAATCTGAACACGTTTTTTTTCATTGAAATCTCTCTCTCTCTCTCTCTGCTTAATTGTAAAGAAAATAATAAAATTCAAGGATTTAAAAGAAATTAATAAAGTTAAGATTTAAAATTTTGAAGATGATCAATAACTGTAATAGATAATCAATTGAAAAATACATTTATAAAACATTTGTTCAAGACAAACAAAAAATGGAGAGGAATGTAGTAATTAACAATACATTAAAGAGAATCGTACATTATTTCCCTTGTGATTCATTAATTAAAATTCCCTATTAAATTGTTTGTAAATCAGTTCTAATATTTTTGAGGTATATAGAAAAAAGTAATCGATGGAATGCAATCTAATCTTTTTCTTCCATTCTACAAAGACAATACCTGATTCCAGCCTGTTTCTTGTAGTGTAATCTTGCTGTGTTTATAATCTTCATTTCGAAAAGAACTTAAGCAGCAGTAAAGAATGAACTGGCTTCTATAATTAGCCAAATTCAAGTTAAGACATACCCAAAAGAAATGGAAATAAAAGGAAATAAAATTAAGACATTATTATGGTTACTGGTTTAACGGTTTACTTCTATACATTATCTGTATATCGTGGCCATGAGAATGGGGAAATTAAGGGCTATATAAATTTTTTAAAAGGCAAAAGCCTTGAATAGAAGTTATTTTGTAATTAAAACTGAATTTTAATTATGTATTTCAAACCGAAGATATAAAAGTATATTTCTTTTAATGAGATTGAATTTCTTGATGATTCCTTAAAGATTTTATGTTGAGAAATATGGCTATAACAGTACATGTATATTTTTATTGAAGTCAGGAACAGAGAAACATTCTTGGTTAAGATTATAAAAATGACCTTGTGTGGAATCTTAGCTTTGTTCCAGACAGTTTGTCTTGTAGGCTAGGCTAAGGCATAGATAGTCACAAAAGTAACACAGACATATCAAACTGTTACTCTGTTTTCAGAGTTACAAGTTCAAGCGTCTAATTCATGTACATGTACAAATAAAAAAAAATTACAAATAAAAAAAAATGAAATTAACGTTCAATGTTTTTCACCAAAATTTCAGCTACCCAAGCATTCTGAGGGGCACACCTGTTTATCAAACAGCAGAAAGTAATCGAAGTATATCTCAAATCAACTAAAGCTTTGGTGTGCATTTCCCGAGGTCTTACCAGGAAGTAAACGATGGGAGCACTTTACTTGTGAAATAACATTTCTCTGACATTGATGTTAATTAAATTTGTTTACTAAGATACGATACTCTCGTTTAAGATAAAAAATAAGTCGTATCAGTAGTAAATTTTTTATTTCAATGCTGTAAGAAGGCCAGTCCATATGATATCATCTAAATGATTTACAACGATGATAAAAAGTATTTTATGAACAGTCTCTTCTGAAAATGGAGCGTGATCTCTACGGGTCGAAGATTTGTTGGTGGTTGATCTAAACATTCCCTTTATTGTTAGGATATGAAGAGTATCAGCTAAACTCCTCAATTTTCTCTCCTTCCTGGTCATCAGAAGCATGTATTGTGGTCCTATGTCACTAAAATATTCCAGAAATTGCTTCTGTCACTGAATAGTTGACCTGGGGGATGTTAACCAGGGATGAGATGTCCCCCTAGACACCAAAATCTATTAACCATCTCATAAATGTATTCAACAGATGCTTTGTTTGTTTGGTAATTTGATACATCATGATCCCTATCTACGATCCTATATTGGAGCTATGCATATGCAATTCTTTCGGTTATAATGATCAAACCTCTAAAGTTCGTCAAAAATGACGGATTCTTACATCAACAAGCATTTTTAAAATGTTAAAAAGTTACGAGTGGTTAAAATAACCTTTTAATTACGATCATATTTTTGTGAAGAAGAGAATACAAACAATGTTTTGAACCTTGTTTTCTTTTTATCGTAAGTCTCCTTTTTTTATTCCCTCTATGAATGATTGGTAATTTATTAACAAACATAAATGCCTAGTTTTGAAATGTGTAATGAATGACTTGTCCATTGGTTTATCAAATGACATGTACAATGCATTAAGTTTTGAAAACTGATGCAAAATCAATTATCTGTTTCAAAATTACTAGTTACATAGCACTCAAAACAAAAGTGTAAACGGTGTTACTGGAAAATCTATTCTATTGTTTGATAATCGTTCTTTCAAAATCAATCCTTAGGAACTTACTTAAAAATTTGAGACAAGTGCCAGATTGGTTGTGGCTAATCAATTCTTGGTCCTATATATAGCTCATACCTTTGAAGACGTTGTTATTGTACGGTTTGGTACAGGGTGTTTTCTTCGACGTAAGAGTTCCTCTCCGTAGAGAGCAACTTTTAATGCTGATTGGTGTCTCTTCCAAGAACTTCTTCGTGCGTCATAGACTCTTGAAAACTTTTGTTTTCCTCGGGGAACAATTGTTGAGCACAATCAATTCTTCTCCCTTCTGCAAACACATATATTGATAACGTACCTGGCCAATGCTTTCTGGCATCACGTTTTTGTTTGGTAGTTTAATATATTAGACAACAAAAGTGACAACATAAAAATATTATTTTCTATTATGCATGATGGAAAACTAAGTGAAACAATATGAAAAGCGAATTTTGCATAAAATTGAGATGTTTTCCACGACTTTTAAAGTTAAACATAACATGTTCCTACATGTGTATTTTGAGAATTTATTACGTTTGCTCTATTTTCTTAATCAATGTCTAAAATTGAGAACATAGGCATATTTAATGCCTAATCAACATAGCTTAGTACTATTTGTAAATGGTACAAAGAAAAGATGTGATTTAAGTTGCTCGCAAACTATAAAATTTTTGTAGTAAAATATTCATTCATATCATTTTCTGCAAATTGATGCATTTTCCGTTCTTATGAAAATGCCTCTAAAAACTGACACCCATAGTAAATTAACAATATGAAAGTGTTATATAAACCATGTATAAAAGTTGATATATTGAATTTGATCAAGATTTATAAATCCATAGAATATGTAAGCTGAACAAAAATATGTGTGTAGTTTTGAAAAAAAAAATTAATTCGAACTTTTTATTTTATTTTTAACCACATAAACTTCTTGCATAAGTATAATAAGACACAAAAATATTTTGAAATTAGTTGGGAGGTAGCTCTGCTTTATCAAAGTTTATTATCTATTAATATACCGGGTATATATTGTCACAAAGGAAGAAATCAATTGAGTAAGAAAAGGAATATTATTGTTTAATTCTTTTAAAAGAAAAATTCTTATTTCCGAAAAAGGTTAAGAAAAGTCTTTGATAAAGAAAAAAACAAATGGAAATCTGGCACCTTTTTTTTGAGAAATCTGTACTTTGGAATTGAAAATGTATCATTAACGTTGAAAAAATCAAAATCACGGTATGTTTTAGTGTTATTATCAGAGATTGACAGAATTCTAAAGAGAATGAGCCCGAATGACTCAGTTCGGTCGTTGTATTGAAGACAGCAATGAGTTTATAAATAGCAATTTTAATATGCTAAGAATATGTAATGTTAAAAAATGGGAACAAAGTATATTTGAAGATTATTTTCAGTACTTGTGTTGCCTATCCCTTTTGTTAAGTATAAATTTATCTATTACATTTTCAATAGTGAAATACTGATATTTATTTATTGAATAAAAGTGATATTCTCTCACAGTGTGAAAGGAAACCAAAATGATATTCTGTCACAGTGTGAAAGGATATCTAAGTAAGTAAAATGATTTCTGGCCTATCATAAGATAGAGATAGTAACTAAACCATGTTGATAGAGACTAAAACTGTAAATTTCCTCCGAAATATATTGCTAAAATCCACGTTCCAATGTTTTCAATCTCACAATTGCTAAGCTATGACGTCTCTACCGCTCAACTATGACATCACAGTCTATAACATTGTGTTATATAAAAAGACGGATGCAAAGAAAAGTCAAAGAAAATGTAATAAACAGAAAATTCAATATTTTGTAGTTGGATATGGAATTCATTTTACTCATGAGACATGATTTTTTGATGGTTTCACTCGTGCTTCGCACTCGTGAAAGTATAAAAAAAATCCTGTCCCACTCGTGAAATAAATTCCATATCCAACAACAAAACATTGAATATCCTCTATTTACACTACCTGCCTGCCTTTTTATATATTTTATATAAAAATATTTATATATTTATATAGTCCTTAAGCCAGCAATGTTCGCATGCAAGTAAAAGCTGTAGAACAAAATAATTGCACATTCAATATTAACTAGTTTTATAGCTCCAGTCGTTCTCATATATTATTTTTTTTTTTTTAAATTGTAGCCTCATGCTGTCGGAATAATTTCAATCAAGGAGAAATAGAATGTTATAAAAAGTCATACAGTGCATACAAATCAGCAATTAGTTTGACTTTTCGGTGAAATGAGATATTGATTTTATTAGAGAATCGTTACCGATGAAACATAATCGGCTTAGAGTTTCCTTATTTGTGACAACTTTTACCGATTTATTCTTCTTCTAGGAATAAAGTTGCAAAAATAGTCAGATTTACTTCATATCAAGTCTGCTAGTGAAAGAAAAAATAATTATATCTAGGAAAATATATAATTGGGTTCTGGAAATCACAACGAAAGAGATTCATGTAAATAAAGCGTAGCTTATTACTGGAAAACTTCAAACCCCAGTTTACTTTCAATACATGAATGTATTTTATTGATGTAAGGACAATAAAAGACAATTAGTTAGAATAAAATATGAACAAAGTATGAATAATATGTAATGCCTTCCATTTTTTACAATCGGAAAACTTTATTTTTTATTTACTCATTTTTCTTTTACAAATATCAATATCAGTCTTCTAATTTAAAAAGAAATACTTTTTTCTGATTTTATAGAATAGAATGAGTGGCAACACAGTGTTGGAAGACCCAGGAATACCTCTAGTAAACAGGCGCAACGGGAAGTACTCAAAATACGTAGAGGACGACGGACAAAGTACAGTCACTGGAACTTCAGTCATGACGTCAAAGTTTGATAATATCAGCTACCGTCTTAGTAGAAGGAAGGTTTTACTGCGCTATAGGACAATCATTGTTAATCTAGAGTTCACTTTCGCTGTTTTAGGAATTGTGCTTATGCTCGTAGAGACTGAATTATTTTTCCAAGGTGTGATTACTAAGTCTTCTATCACGTCCATCGTCCTCAAGTCGTGTATTTCTGTCTCTACGGTTTTTCTTTTGATTGGTGTAATTGGATACCATGTGACTGGTATACAACTTTGTATGACGGATAATAGCCTAGAAGATTGGAGGCTGGCCGTCAACTTTCCATGGACATACTTAAAAGTATTACTTGAATTGGCGGTGTGCATCATACATCCTATACCGGGAAACATATCAGTTTCTGCAATTGATCCGGATGGAAAAACTAGAGAAGTTTCAATCGACGCCATTTTATCAATTCTCATGCTTATGCGAGTATATTTGCTCAGTAAATTCATGGTAGTTCATAGCAAACTATTAACAAGCACGGCAACACAGAGCCTTGGCGCTCTAAATAAGGTTAAGATAAATTCAACATTTGTATTCAAGGCACTGATGTCTTCGATGCCAGGAACAGTATTAGTCGTCATAATGCTGGCCATTTTGGTCGTAAATTCTTGGGCCATGCGAACATGTGAAGCATACTACCACCCAGATGCCAAAAATTCAAATTTCTTTAATGATATGTGGATGATTGCAATAACTTTCTTAACTGTGGGTTATGGAGACACTTATCCCAACAGTTACTGCGGAAGATTTGTTTCCGTAGCAACAGGTTTAATGGGCGTCGGAACAACGGCCCTACTTGTCGCTGTTCTTGCGCAGAAATTGGAGCAATCACGCGCAGAGAAATACGTCCACAATTTTGTCACCAGGGCACAATTGGACAAGGAGCGGAAAATCGCCGCAGCTGACACGATTAAGTATGTACTGCAGCTATGGAGAATGAGGAAAAATAATGAGAACAATGGAAGAAAACGAATTCGATTACACGGGAAGTTGCTGCAAGCAATAGCTGCAATGAAAGAAGCTAAAAATGAGAAGGCCTCTATAGGAGAAACTGCTATCGGTTTTATTGAAATTGCAAAGAGTGTTAATGACATTGTAGAATTATCAGAAACGCTCCAAGACACTCAATCTGAACTTAAAATGAAAATGACAGAAATAGACTCGACGATAAAAGATCTACAAGCCAAAATGGAAGCCGTGTATAATACAGTTGTAAGATGATGACCACGTGATCCTATGCCACGTGACATGCCATGTGACATTATACATTACTAAATACTTACTGGGTGGCGGTAGAGATGTCTAGATTGTAGGTTTAAGAATGCAATGGCTGACTTTACTAACAACCAAGCTGAAGCATCTTTTAGTGCAACACTCGAGCTCCTGTTTCGGGTAATAGACATTAGAATCTTAATGCCTACGAAAAGCCTGAATACGACCAGCTGACAAAATTGATCATTCAAACACGTATTTATTTATTTATATCAAGCTCAATGTCAAGTTTCAGTTACTGTATATGAACTGAACAAGAATGTGATATCTTTGGTCATAGAACTTTTTTGAATTAGTTCTTTCAAAAAAAGAAACTGAAAAAGTCTCACAACTGTAGCTACGCGAGATATCAACAAAACATTCTGTAATACATGTAACCTCATATAACAATTCAAATATATAAATGATCTGATCATTTACATACACGTTAATAGATGGAATATTATAGTTTGTTGCTGAAAGTCATAATACTATGACAATCACACTGCGCTGGTGTATTAGTTTGCACTATTATCAGAACCAAATATGTGGCGAGCTAAAAATACAAAAATGTAGAAAATATACATCGACAAGACTTTTTTAATTTCCATTCTTCATTTGATAGTAAGCTACTATGAAAAGCTAGTGGATAGGACTGGTGACATAGAGAATAGATGGAACAATGTACTTTAATGATACTTGTGTAAGTAGCCTCCCTCCCAAAACAAGGTTTTTTTTCCAATAAATTCCAGAAAATAAACAAATAAAAAGGATTTTCAAACACCATTCACCAATTAAACAAAAAACATGGATTATTTTTTAAAATTAAAATGACATGAAGATTTTTTCCCAAGTACTCTTTGAATACATTGATATTAGTTAAATATAATATAGTATTTTAAAAAAAATATGGGAAAATGTCCAGAATTCCCTACAATGATCATGTGTATGTAAAGAATTGCTGTATTCAAGTACCTTTCAAGGAATAAATTAACGTTGATTCAAAACATAAAAGCTATTGGACGAAATCAAGGATTGAAAGTATGTACAATGTTACTTTTAAAAATGATGGATTTGAAAAAAATATGTTGCTTACTGACAAAATCCATAAATAGCTTTAATAGATCATGTCCAAGAGATTCTTTTAGGAAGAACATGGAAATATCATTACAACATGGATTGTTTCACCTTAGCATGCTCTACAAATCAACGCGTCATACATAGAAAGAAAAATATATATCCAAAGGTTATTTGGTCAGTCATGCGCAAGATCTGATTGTTTTATTATCATTAGATGCTAACATATGTGACACCATAGAATTATTATTATCAACTGTATACAAAATGTCGCTTCCTGCACATCAAAAGATAATATAAAACAACACGAAGCGCGATTTCCGAATTGTTTCCGTCGTATTGTGGTTTGGCTTCATATTTAATAGCTACAACCAGCTCTAAGATTTTGAACACTTTTTCAAAGACCAATACTTCAAAATTTCATTCAAACAAAAACCGTTTAATTCTGCGGGGTTTTATGATGGAAAAAGCCTATAATGTTTTTATGTCATTATGCCATTCATGCTTACAAATGTTTGTAATTATATCATTTTTTAAAAGTAATTTTATAGTTGAGTTATATTCCAGTCAACATAATTATACCTACAACGGAAGCTTTTAAAAATCAAACCACTGGACGTAGACCATTATGTGAATAGTAATGCATATAACAAATCCAACCATTCCTTGTACAACACACCATTAGTAGGAACGTTACCCAGTAGATTAGAGGATGGCAGTAAATCCCTAGTTTTCTAAGGATATTATACAGGAAAGAATATCTAAGCTTTCAGGAAAAGAAGTCTTTTATATCAACTAAATTGATTCTCCCTATCAAAAAGGATACAATGTAGCCAATTAATGGATCTAAATGAAGCTCTTGGTCGAGGTGCTTCTTGTAACATTTGCACGGAACATCTGAATATCAGGACCTACCAGAGTCCTTCAATGACATGTTATTTTGATGAACAGCTTTTTAAAGACCTTAAAAACGAAATAAGGGGAAGATATAGTCTTCCTTATGTACATATTAAATGTTTCTTATTTAGACATTAAACGTGATCTTTATAGACAGTGATCGATTACAGAAACAAATCAAGGCGCAAATAGTCTGTCTCCTTGCTGAAAAATATGCATGAAGAAATGAGCAAGGGACCAATTCCAGTTAATGAAGATGAAATCGAGTCCATAAAGAAACATTTCTCACACGAACAGTATAAGGTCTGCAATATAAAATGTCATTTTGCTAGCTTAGGTATTATTTAGTCTGTACAAGATTGTTTCGATTTGCTGAGGTAAGTAAATGTCTAGAATGCAAAGAAGTAAGAAAAAGAAATCAATACATTCATAAAGTATCTTTATTTGGTAAATCTGAACAAAAATGAAATTTTTATCTCCAGTCATACCTGTCTGTTTAAAAATCGGACCTAATCACATCAAAATAACAGTTTTATTAACTTAATTAGCAATATGATTCAAATACTTTGAAAATATTCGTGAAAACGACAAATTCTTTTAAGGAGAATCAATTGTTACATTTAGCTTTTTATAATTCTTTGAATTTTTGACACAATTTTCAAAGCAAGCACTCATTGAAAGACTAAGAGGTAACAAAGGGAAATAGTACATGCTCTGTGGCAACGCACTTTGAAAAAATTACGCACTTTGAAAATTTTTTTCAAAGTGCGTTAAAACTGGGACAAAATCAATGCACTTTGAAAAAAAATTTCAAAGTGCATTAAATTTTGGACAAAATCAACGCACTTTGAAATTTTTTTTCAAAGTGCGTCAAAAGTGTACATCAACATTTTTTTACCATGGAGACACTTAACGCACTTTGAAAAAATACGTCTAAAACTAAAAATTCTTGACTTAGATTTTAATAATAGACAGCATTAATTTGTTATATTTCTTCCGAAAAACTGATGAATTGATCTACCGTCATCGAGAACGAGGAGAAGACAGGTAGAAAGTCCCTCAGCCCAACTCTCTATCTTTCCTACACAAATATATATATTTACATAACTGATATGACATTGATATTATTTCTCTCAACAAATTTGAGCAAACGTAAAATAGATGGAAAAAAAAAATGACATAAGGCTTTTTCCTGAAAAAAAAATTACGCACCCTATTATATTAAAGAAGAGAGCCGCACAACCTTTATTCAAAATGTATCCACAATGAATCCTAAGAAAAAATGCATTTACATGATAATTAAAAAATGCTATTTGACATGTCAAGCGTTTTTATGATATCAAATTACAGATTTAGAAGTAATCCGACTGCATAACTTTTTTGAGAAAAAGTTTTCAGTGAACGAGGTAAAAATTTCAGTCGAGTGAGTAATGTTGCTAAGGTTTATTTTCTTACTATCAAATAAATGAGTCAAACATTGTTTCATATATGTTCACAATAGATAGATAGATGAATATGATAGAAAAATAGATGAGAGAGAGAGAGAGAATTTTCATGGTATGGAAAAATCATAATTGCTCCCTTTTCCCTAAGAAATATGCGATGCTTTAAGTCACTTATCGACACCTGCATCTACCGAACTTATTTAGAGACTGGATAAAATATAAAAAAGAAAAGAAAAAAGAAAGGAAACTGTGCTATTAAACAATCATTCCTCCATTATTTCTAAAACCCATTTCCCTTTTATACCGAATTACGAGAACCTTTGGAAAAAAGACAACTCCTAAAAATTTTTAAAACGTCTATATCACAGATCCTGACGTCATCACCGAAAAGTTATCCAACCAGGTTCAAATAATTATTCATCACACCTAAAATTTGCAAAAATATTGACCAAGCCGTGCACTTTTTTTTTCAAAGTGCATTAATATGGTCGATATTAACGCACTTTGAAAAGAAATTTTTTTTTTTCAAAGTGCGTTAACGTGGTCCCAAAATTAACGCACTTTGAAATTTTTTTTCAAAGTGCGTAATTTTTCAAAGTGCGTTGTAACAATGCTCTATAGAGTCTGATTCCAAGGTAGATACCGTTCTTGCTATGTATGTAGTTTTAGACTAATACAACGCAGAGAGAATTGGGCACTTTTGATTGAGTCTGTAGCACTGTAAATTAAAGACTCTCAATTAATTTTTTTTTTAAATTTAATCAATCGAAACAAATCTCCAAATTTCCCTTATATTCGATGGTGTATTTCATTTAATAATATATTCTTATTTTGGTAAGCAAATCTCATTTTCTGGCATACTATTCAAAGTAAACTTAGTCTGGTAAAAAAATAAGATGCATGCAGTCGGTTATATAAATAATCTGTAGATTAAGGAACCTGTATACACTTATGAAATACATTTTCTGGACTTGGAAAAAATATATCATATTAAGGTGACAATTTTGAGGTGATCTTTTTCCTAACCCAGGCAAATGTTCAAAGATAACAAAATACTGATGAACAGAAAACACTGACGTTTAATGTCATATATATATATATATATATGAGATAACTATGAGGCTATAAACATGCTACTAAATATCTCTTAGACTATCGAAGACCCAATCGTTGCAATAATGTCAGGTTTTCATATGGCTAATATGACATTTAGAATTTGCATGATTTTTGTTTGTTACCACATCAAATGCTAATTTCCCGTATGTAAATTGTATCTGAATGTATGTCCTCTATTATCTTCGACACAAATATACCTCATAAATCAAAAAAACATGTCACAAAGATTATACATAGAATATATATTTACAAATGAGGAAAAATAATGAGAGATAGATAAAATGAAGAACAAATACTCAATGTTACATTCAATGTAACTTTATATAAAGACCGCTCTTAAATAAGATTTCAATCCTTTAAAGTTCTCAAACATTTTATACGGAACCATTCCTTTAGCAAAAACAAATGTAGTCTAACTTTCCAACATTTGTGATCAATGGGTCTTTGCATTTATACGTAAAACGCTAACTAACATTTATTGCATAAACATTCACACTAACGGAATATGAAAACAAAAGTACTTAGTAGCTGATCAGAATGCAAAAAATCGTAAGAAACTTTTTTTTTTTTTTTAAATTAAATTTTCGTAGAAACTGATAGAACTGCATTCTTATAACATTTATGAAACGAATCCTTAGGAAAAGATTTTTTTCTCCTAAAAAGAATTTTTCACTTTTCTCACGGTTACACCAAAGTGTTTTCTGAATAACAGTCTGCCAGTCTGTTTTTTTTTTTTTTTTTTTTTTTTTTTTTTTTTTATCAACATTGTTCCTGGAAGGCCATTAATACAATATAAAGATATACATGTATCCATGATTAATTTATTTTATGAAATAGCACCAGTTATTAAAAACTTAAGCCATTGGTACTCTTACAAAAAAGCTCTAATTTGACACAAGCAAACTCACTACGCAGCCTGCAGTTTGTAACCAAACCCCAAATGCACAAGCTCCTTTTCCTAAAATACAGATTTTTACACAACATTCACACTTATAAATTCGTAATCAGAGAACACAGTTCGAAACTAAAGAATGTAACATGTCCTTGTTTCTTTTTTAATCCAGAAATTGAAGCATTGTACAATTACATGTTAAGTTAAAAATTATTTTTGTTAGAAATCTTTAAAAAAACAAAAAAACAAAAAGGGAAATTATATTTTTTAGAAATTGTACATCTGATATACAGTAGTACATGAGACATTCAAATAGTTTTTATGTTGTGTCTCTGGGTACATGCAAAGAACAGGGACTCAAAATAACCGGTATTTTTTTCGGATCATCTCGTTTTAGAAAATATCTAGTACAAAAACTGCTGTCCATAAACATCACCTACACACGTATAGGCATGACCTTTGACACGTGATCGTCCCAGGC